ATTTTTAAGAAGCATTGAAAGATAAATCAATCGCCAAAAAAAGAAGTTCCAATTTTATACTTAAAGAAGCAAAAACATTTTATAGAACTCCCTAGCAGTATTGTTCGTCATAACAGAAAAACATATTTTTACCAATATCTATCTAGGTCATCCAATTTCTTGACAGATGTTTATCTCAATTTGAAAAGAAGAATCTATTGACGCACGACAAATTTGTATCGGTTTTTGACCCGGAGATATAATAATATAACAAATAACTAGCCTTTCATAAAAACAATACGTTGAAAAACATGTCAGATGCTTTATACACTCAACAATAACAAGATATGACCATGAGAATCTATATATCCGTGAATAATAGATTTTGGCCTATTAAATTTTACTGATTAGCGCCAAATTAAATTGTATTAGCAAAGAATTTTTTGTCTCAGTTTTTAAGCCCAACTTCAACAAGGTCATCATCAAATTTGAGTTTTGATTCATCAATTGGTATTGGTTTCAACTAATATAATAATTGAATAGAATTTGAAATAATTTAACACCGTGGGCGTTTTCATTCACATCCGAAGCCTAATTCTCGTGACAAGTTGTGACCGTTTTGGCAAAGGATCAAACAGTTAAATTTTCGCGCAACGTGCGGTTTGTTGACGTGGTCATCTAAGGTCACGAGAATCTCTAGGAAAACCAAAGTCCATTTTTTATTTGAAAGGTTCTTGAAGTCAAGAACAAAGTGTCAAGTAAATTAACAACTAGGACAAATAAACAATAAAGATAATTGATTGGTTGGCGCTTGGTTTAGACAACAATACGCAAACTGATGAAATTTGGACGCAATCTCCAAGGGAAGGGAAGCAGGATAATGAATACAAAAGTGGTAATAGTACTTTATGTACAAGCTACTTTCAAAGCCAATAAATAAGCAATAATTGACATATTATGCTCTATTAAAAATATAAAAGACTAAAAGCAAACCGGGCGAACTCCGTTTCACCACCAGATGGTTTCATTTTAAGTAACATTTCGTTTGGTGATTAAAAGATGAAGGAAAAAATTGCCTGCTGTTTAAATTGAATAAAATTTACACAATACACGTGATTGATTTGAAGGTTTCCAATTGAAATGTTAGGAAACGAATAGCTTATTTTTTTACTTTTTTTGCACCATTTCACAGTGAACGCAATGCCGGTGTGTCACATCAAATTAACTTAGTAGAGAACAATGAGTAGCTGTCAAACAAATGAGTAGCAGTCAAACAAAAAATATCAGTTTGTAGTGTATGCTATGTATCAGAGATGACGCTGTATGTGAAAAAAGAAAAGGTGTTTTCCGCTTTTCTGTTGAAATCTTTCTTTATTTTTTTTGCTATAAACCTCACGGAGCCCGAGACCTTTCCAACGAATGCAAAATCGTAGAAATAGATTCGTGCGTTCTGCAGTTATATCGTCAGGAAAGAAAACCCGACTTATTTTTATATAATAGATAAATAACGATTTACGAATACTTCTCTATTAATAAATGCAACTTTTATTTTTACCATTATATCATACTATTTCAGTATTGCATAATTGAGCAGTTGGGATTTATAGTTCGCACATTCAAACCAATAAACAATAACAGAGTAATCGATAAATCAAACACTGTAGCAAAAACATTGATGCATTGTATCATATGTTACAATTTCCAATGTAAACTAATACTGATAATCTCATTTATATTGTTCCATACATTGTAGATGACATACAGCAAATAATCGTATTCAACTGAGTCATCAAATACACATGATAAAATATTCATCATGGTTAAACAAATAAGTATGGTACTTTGAAATCAACAGTGTTAAAGATATAGAGCAAAGTTTTTGGAACTTGGAGTATAATTTTTATTATTACCATAGCGTGCACTATCCAGACACCCAACAAAAAACCCATGAATCAAGTCACATGTTCAGCTGTTATAAACGGCCGAGTTTATAGTATAGTATGCAAACTGACTTCATGAAAAAAATAAAAGTACTATGTATGCAAATAAGTTCTCAGATCCATAAGGAAGATCCGTCAAGAAGAAAGTTCATTGAACCAATTGCGCGCAAAATTGGACAATAGACTGACTCCACAGGTGTTGACGTCAACTGGCAAATAGACTGAATTATTTAAACCAGTTGGGAAGGATAATTGAAATCGATAATATGCAAGTGAAACAGACACTATCTCATATTTGCATTTTCGGATTGGACATATGCATTTTTTTGTCACCATATAATTTACAACCTAGTTCCAAAGGTATTGGCTTCATCTGGTAACTAGCTTTGGCAAGGATAATTGAAATCATTTTCTGATCACCATATAATTTACAACATTCAGTAGACATCTAGTAAAAAAATCATATAATAAAATGCAATGACTAAAAGTTACCAGTATCCATCCAATTGTATAAGAGTCAAAATAAAGCTCTATATAGAAAATAACAAATATATATGAAATTGTGTATCTATATGGTGCAGATTTTCAGTATTAGTTGGTGGTATAGGAAATTTGCTCGAATAGAGACAAGTTAAAAACATTGTTAATAAAAACAAATTATTCTTAGATCCTAAACCACTATAAAATGCAGATAAATTAATGGTATCTTGAATACCAATTGTAAATACCAATTAGAGCTTTAACTAACTTATGTAAAAACATAATTATGAATAAGTGAATAAATTTGTGTATAATAATATTGACAAATGATAAAATTCTATATGCACATTATCAGTTATTTAATATTAGTAGATATTATATTATAGAGTTATTTTATATTATGAGTAAAATAAATATCAACTATGTGAATATTACCAAACTGCACTTCATTTTTGCAATTTTATTCCATAAAGTACTAAATAACAAACTTTCCAGACCATGATTTATCTCACCATCAGTGCAAAATTCATCAATATATTAACACATTATATAAATTACATATTTTAAAATATATAACAAATTATTTATAAAATGCGTTAATATTTTGTCTATTAATTTCACACTGATGACAAGATTTGAAAAGTCTGTGACTTAAAATTTTATGAAATAGAGTTAGTGTAGAGAGTTGTTATTTACACAATTTATATTCATTCCACTGATAATACAAAATTCTATAAATATTTATGTCTATATATATATATATATATATATATATATATATAATGTGTTGTTAGCAAAGCACTTAAATAATTAACAAGTAAGAAATTCATTCAAGTAAGATACTTGAAAAGCTTTATTCTCCTAAGTGTATATAATATCTTTTTATTGATCCAATAAACATATAAGAAACACCTCAAAACAATGGTGCCATATATTTTGATTCAAAACTGATAAAAAGTACTACATTGTTTATTTTATATAAGCAATATAAATTTGTAAAATTATTAAAATGAATAAAAATGCACCAACAAAGAAAACGAGGCGATTCGTGCAACCTAACCTCAAATTTCTAATATTTGCAAAATGCTTATACCGCAACTAATAAATGACATTTAGCTAATTTGATTAATGATTTTACGTTTTTCGATTGAAATTAATAATAAATATTATTTCCAAGGCAATTTCCGTAATATTTTACACGTGACAAAAACATATTATATACACAAAGTTTATTTTACAATCCAAAACAAAAACAATTTTTTATAAAAATGACATTTCTGACTCACCATGTCCATGTCCATTCATCTCAGGTTTAGGCATTTTGAATCCTTTTTTAATCTGAAACATGACAGGTTTCTTTTGTACTTTTTACGAAAATGTAAATCTTTGCAAAATTGTGATGACAACCATAAAAATTATAAAATTCGTGAAGAATTGTATAAACAATATTTTAATTTGCTTACAAATAATATATTACCCAGTTTGTTAACGCTTTATTTTGTTTAACAAAAGCCGTGACAAGAAACTACAAAACTTAAAGAAAATGTAATGAAAATGTATTTACTTACTTTGTATAAATCAATCAAGATATTCCAAATTAATAGCACAACACTTTCATAAATAACACATTTTATTATTCACAGAAAAAATCACAAAAAGATTTTATTATAAATTTAGTCATTGAATCGCTAGATACGAGTGCATTGAGCTTCGGCGTGAATGACGCTTGTGGCTATTATTTTTTCCTTCTTAGGTTGGTAGTCCTGTAGTGCGAACTTGAGGATAATGAATAATATCAATACGAATATGGGCGGGAAAAACAAATTACATTTAATTCATTTTTATGCACTCTATTAATCATTAAATCGTCTATATTTACACATTACTTAAATAAATAGAACTTTATAATGTTTAATTTATGATACTATAATATGCACAATAGATTTAAAAAGTAGCTTTACAAAAACTCAAACATGTAATGAAACATTTTATGTGGAATTGATGAATACCAATTACACAAACTACGTTATTAAAGTTTATTTAATATTTAGTAATATTCTTTAAATTGTTTTAGAAACTAAAAGTATTTATAAATCGAAACCCTCGCGACATCTAAAATCATGTTACCAACTGTTACGACTATCTAAGTCTCAAACCAACATGGAAAGGATAAAACGAATTTATAAAATTCAAAATAAGTGTTCTATAATAACAAAATAAAATTGATTTCAGAAGGATATGATTGAAGTAGAAATACAGCAGTGTGTATTAATAATTAATTTATTATCAAATCAGACTTAAGAACATGTTTATATAAAGTTATAGTATACAACTATATTTTTCATTATAAAAACTATAAAAATACAAATGCATTTTAAACAAAAGTCACATTATCAAAATTCAACATTCTTGCACATGTAAGTCTATAAATATTAATCCAAATTCAATTATTTATGCAATTTAAACCGGTAATTTTAAAATCATGATAGCAACACATCATTATCAACATACTTCATATAAATATAATACAGACATTAGGTTACAATATACTAAAAAAACTAAAACTCATTAAAATTTGTTACTTAACCACACAAGTTATAAATTCTATAAAAATATCTTTTTTTTATTTGTGTCATTAGGACATTCAAATGTCGCGCACTCCTGTGCCATAGTTGGCACCCCCGGCACGATTCAGGGCGTCTCTGAATTGTTCAACTTCAAGCTCTGACTGGTTTTCAGCTTGAAGCTCAACCGCAAAATTCTAAAAGGATGAACAAATATGGCGTCAAATTTGTTGTTAATAATTGTTGTAATTTATATGTTTAATATAAAAAGTGCAGTGTGTCTACAAAAGCTAAGAATAAAGACAAATCGAAAATGGATTGGAAACTAATGTAAGTAATAATTTAATTAAGCTCTATTATCTTTCCTAGAAGAAGGCTATTAAGTATCTTATTGAGCGATCTGTTACTTGAAAATGGCGACACTGATAGGGATTAGTTTGCACTTTTATCCTACTAAATACTGAAACTTACAGTAATTATATCTTTCACCATAGCTTTGTCGGTTGACATTTTTGCTCTATTAATTACACCAACACCTGGTCCGACCCACGTCAGGAACAAAAACTTTCGGCGCTTTGACATCTCATCCCCCATTTGCAATCTATATAATAAAGTACAAGTTAAAAAATAAAAATAAAGTACAAGTATTTTACACGTAATATATAATTTGGTCAATATTTTACTTACCTGATATATCCAAAAGCACGTTCATTCTCAGCAAATTGTTCCCTAAACTCTGCAAAATCACAACCCTTAGCGGAGACTACTATTTGGGGACCGTTGAATTTGAAGACGGCCCTGTCGGAAAAGGAAATGATTTATTAGACATATATTGTATATGACATTTTATTTGATTTGTGTGAAAATCACATGTTTAAATAATCTAGATATATTATCTCAGAAGATTACTAACCAGTCTGTATCGGATAAGTCGCTTCTGACGTCCTCATAAGCCGCTCGGACCGTATCTCTATCTAAGCTTGTTGTCATGGCGACCTAAAAAAGAAAATCTATTTTTATTTTCTATAAAACTATTGTAATGATAAAATAGTAACATGCTAGGTGTAAGTGGCATTTTGCCTTAAGTTTAAAAATGGTATATACACAGTGTTGTCCTAAAAAGATGGCCTAGCATTCCAAACTATAAAAATAAATAGTAATCTGACTAAAGGCAGGTCCATGGTGTGAGATCACCACATATCAATGATTCCCTTTCTCTCTCTTGTTATTATACCCATGTCATTCATTGTTATTAATCATTTTGTATACACTTTCTGATCCTGTGCTTCAATTTTCAGGTCTCTATTTTTTCTTCTTTCATCATCAATACATTCTTCTTCTTCCTGACCTGTGCTTTGACTTGCAGTTTCCTGTATTTTCTCTTCTTTCATCAATCAGATGCATTCTACTTCTTCATGGACCTGTGCTTCGGCTTGCAGTTCCCTGTATTTTCTCTTCTTTCATCAATCATATGCTTTCTTTCTTATTCCTGGACCTGTGCTTCGACTTGCAGTTTCCTGTATTTTTCTTTTTTTCATCAATCATATGCATTCTTCTTCTTCCTGGACCTGTGCTTCGGCTTGCAGTTCCCTGTATGTTCTCTTCGTTCATCAATCAGATGCATTCTACTTCTTCCTGGACCTGTGCTTCGGCTTGCAGTTCCTTGTATTTTCTCTTCTTTCATCAATCAGATGCTTTCTTCTTCTTCCTGGACCTGTGCTTCGGCTTGCAGTTCCCTGTATTTTCTCTTCTTTCATCAATCATATGCATTCTTCTTCTTCCTGGACCTGTGCTTCGGCTTGCAATTCTATGTATTTGCTCTCTTCATCAATCATATGCATTCTTCTTATTCCCGGACCTTTGCTTCGACTTTGCAGTTTCCTGTATTTTCTCTTTGTTCATCAATCATATGCATTCTCTTCTTTCCTGAACCTGTCTTGGTCTTGCAGTCCCTGTATTTTTTCTTTTTTATCAATCATAGCATTCTTCTTCTTCCTGGACCTGTGTTTGGCTTGCAGTTCCCTGTATTTCTCTGCTTTCATAAATCATATGCATTCTTCTTCTTTAACAATTAATCAAGGATTAAAGCTAATTGATTAAAATGGTTCGTCAATCTTTGCAAACCAAATTATTTCTTCCCTAATGGTGAGCATATTGGTATCCTGAGCCTATTTGGTATGAGATTATGTTGAATAAAACATAAATTATTTTCTACTAGTATAAACAGTCTACAAGATTTATGTAACGAGTTAAATTTATCATATTAAGGTCATCATCGCCGACTGTTTCTGCTCCAAATGATTTGTGGATCGTTTTTAATCTCTTATTAGGTTACCCTTATTCCAAAGATGTGGTTTTCCACATATAAACACTTATCACTTATTTTCGGATTTATGAAGTATGTATGTCACAGATTTAATTTGCTGATTGATGAATGGCATTTATCAGTTTCTACAGATAATGGAAGGACGATAAAAACATCATGGTTGATAATGAATTTTGTATATATGCAAGGAAATGGTCCGATTTTGTATTTTATAATGGATAATAATAGAATTATTAGAATAATTTATGTAGAGATGGACTTACCATATCCGAAGCGGATCGGTTAGGATTTGACTCCGCTTGAGAGGAGAGTTATTTTCACTTAACAACTCCACAACTCCGACAACTTTGAAACATAATACTTGACACAATGTGTTCTCTAGTGCGTTCTTAACATATCTAAGGATTTATTGATACCTTGGAAATAGTTTACAATAGTTCAAACATTTTTGTTCATTTATTAATAAATTACTATTTTATGCATTTCAATATGCATACAAATCTCAAATTGACAAAAAAATTGGGGAATCAAAATCAATTTTGTAATTATTTTTGAAGAGAAAATATAGAATTCTCTGAATATGTTCATTTTTATATGAAAATAATGCAGTAAACCTTATATATGAAATAAGAACAAATCTTTGTGTGTATTATTTTTCACAAAATAATAATACCTCACATTATTTTATTATTTCCTTGTCGAGAATTAATTATACATCAGGTAGTTTGATTAGCATACTATTACTTTTACACAATTATAATTTTATAATTGTGTAAAAGTTATGATATAATATCAAATATTTTAAGCTGGTTGTATATAATTGAAAGAGCTCATTTACGGACAAACATTATCGTATACATAATATATAATACTAAATTGCATTACTTTTTGACACATATACCTGGAAATCTACAACTGGCTGTGAGACGAGAAAAGACCACTTTTTTCGACCCAAATCTTTGTATTAGTAAAAAATCTCAAGCAAATATCTGCACATGTTAACAGATTTAGTTTAGGAAAGTCGGATATGACAAATTCTGAGAGACAACTCCACTCGCATTCACTCCGAGGGAGGAGTTGTATTGGAGTGATAACTCCGGAGTGAGTTACCCATCTCTAGATATTCATATTACAAGATTCAAACCCAGACAAGAAAAATATCAAATTCGGGAAACTTAGAGTCAAAGTACTTGAATTTTATGTAACTCAAAGAGCTATTGGCAAAACTTGAGAAGTCAATCATGGAAATTCATAAATGAGCATATTGATTTACTTAAATTTGTCACCTAGAGCTATTGGCAGGACGTACAATTATGAAGAATCGCTCATACTGTTCGAAAAAAATTCAATTCCAGAAGCATCTGCCTTTTTTTATTTAATTTTTATCAAAACTATTGTGAAGGTAAAACTATGAAATCGCTCCTTTGTCAGCAAAGTTGATCATCTTCATTTTCTAAATTTCATCTATCTCATAGAGCTTTTGGCAAAGAAACTGATAGGAAGAACCCCGTTTTGGAAAATTATAAATTAGTATCTATATCAGTCCAAAATCATCTTGTGGGGCACTCCCCCTCCGAGGGGATAAAATTGTTAATAAGTTTAAGGGGGACGCAATTTTTTTATCAGAGCGGAAGGATGCGGTTCGAAAAAGGTTGGAAACCACTGATCTATATACTCTTAAATTGTGAAAAAGCTATTGGCAGTACATATAGCTATCAAGAATTGTTCTTTTTGTTGGAAAATTGTAAATGAGCGTCTTGATTTACTTAAATTTCATTTATTTCCAAAAAGTATTGGCAGAAGGTATGAAAAAGCACTCATCTGACAACAAAGTTATAAACCATCATCTTGATTTCTTTAAATTTCATTTACACCAATGTTGATGTACCCTCTTGGCGAGAATACGAGGAAGAATCACTCATTTGTTTTAGAAAATTATAAATGAGCATCTATTTACTATTAAATTGTGAAATAACTATTGGCAGTACGTCTAAGAAGAGTCGTTCTTTTTGTTGAAAAATTGTAAATGAGTATCTTGATTTACTCAAGTTTCATCTATCTGAAAGAGCTTTTGTTTGGTCTTTGGCGCTTGTACTATATCCTCCCAACCAATAAGTCATTCTTTCGAATTCCTTCTCAAAGTTCAATACTGCAGTTGCATTTATTAATGACATCACCATAAACAAAACGAAACAAAAGTTTTCTTTATATAGGCTTCTTGAAACGCGGTCTTCAAGTGCCTTTGACATATTTATGACGCACCATTAGGCTATGCACATACGTCGACGTCCAACGCAGCCCATTAACGATTATGAATCACAGACGCCTTTAGGCCGATATTCATTATTGCCGACGGAAATAAATTGTATAAAATTGTATTTAAATATAAATAGCTACAGAATTTTTCATATGGTTTTATCATGGGTGTCGATCATGGTAGCCAAACTTTACAAATTAGGTGGTTCCAATTAGGTGGTTCGTAGGGTTGTGGCAAGCTTTAGGCTTAAAATGCAAAACTTTAAGGTACAAGTCCACGTTCTGGACTATCTGGTATCAAGCAGTAGTTTACTTGAAAATATAGATAACAATGCTTTCCAAAATAGCCCTTCTCTGGCATTGCTGCATCAATGTAAAATGTCATTCATATTAGTGAAATTTTTATAATAAAAATATATCAAAAATCTAATGATCAACCAACCATTGGTTTGTTAGCCAAGTAGTTAAGAAATATCGTTCCAAAAGCTCATAGGACTGGTTAAGCTCTGATTGCTCGAAAAGCTATAATAATCAAGTTCCATGGAATGCCAGGATCTTCACATCCTAAGCATTATATACTAGATTATTTTTAATAGTAGTTGGAGCTTGAAAGTCCTAAGAACTTGTTGTGATCTGCAGGAATGTTGGAAAAAAAGCTACTTAAAGTAAAAATTGATATCAGGTTGTCTGATATGAGTGGAACTTTGGAAACTTGTTGGAAAATCCGAAGTTTACCACAGGGCCATCGAGAAATTCTGCTAGAATTAAACTTAAATAAAATAAATCATAATCGAGGAAAATAAATACATAAGTAGTACGTAAATACTTTTACAAAGCTATTTTGAATTCCAAATATTATTAAACTCATACTATTAACAAATTTTTTGGCAATTCAAATGGAATGTTCTAATACATATTTACCAGAAATAAGTTTAATTGTAGGTATTTATATAAATAACTCAATTATTGTTGTATTGCACAATTGTAATGCGATTTCATAAAAAATGGATTACGTAAATAGAAGTTTATTCTAACTATAGGTAAAATTTAAAAAATTCAGCAATGGCACTTACTTTAATAACATTGAATTAGAAAGAATGAAAATCTGATAAAAATCGATACAAAAAATATTTAACATATTTCATTTCTGTACAGTACATTTGTTCTGAATTAAGACATAATACTAAGATCTCTAGATTAAGTGTGTATAAAAAAAAACAGATTTACCAACTATTTTTCTGATGAAAATCTGATAAAAATCGATACAAAAATATTTAACATATTTTATTTCTGTACAGTACATTTGTTCTGAATTAAGACAATACTAAGATTCTCTAGATTAATTGTGTATAAAAATAAACAGATTTACCAACTATTTTCTGATGAAAATCTGATAAAAAATCGATACAAAAATATTCAACATATTTCATTTCTG